GCTTTCAAGGTTCTATGGCCGCAGATGTTGAGATGAGGCAGGTCAACGTATATAATCTTTTACTTGAGTGCCGTTCATTGACTCTTGAGGATGGCCTGCAGCGTTCACACAGCGTTCTCACAGCCTGGCCAGTAGAGTGCGTAAGGTCATGATTGATTCTATTCGAGCTGGGGAACTATGCAAGGGGCACCGAAAGGTCGGCGTCGATCTGCTGCAAGAGCGCGTCCATCTTGTCGGCGGGCACGATGGCGACGCGGCCAAAGAGCGGAGCCTCGAAGCTGTCGGCGGCGTCTGCAGGTGGTGGGAAGCGGAAGGTGAGCGCGTGGCTGGCCATCTTTGCGATGGCGACGTCCTCTGGGTGAAAGAGGCCGAGTTCCTCGTCAGAGGCACCGTTGAGCGCCATGCCGTCCGAAATGGCACGCGTCTTGGGAGCGTCCTTCTTGGCGCCCGCCTTCTTGGCTTCTCGACGTGCGAGCTTGGCCTTCCTCTTGCGCGCGCCTGCGAGGCCGGAGGGTTCGTCGTCGTCGTCCTCATCCATCGCCTCGTCGTCCGAAAATGCATCCGCCGAGAAGACGCGCGAGAAGAAGAGGAAGTGCGACGGAGTCGGAGCCGAGGTGGACGCGAGCGATGCACGCACCTCTTCGAGCAGCATCTTGTACAGCGGCGGAGCCACTTGGGGAGGCATGTTGACCATGCGCTCGTGCAGCACCGCCACGATGGGTGCGTTGGTCGACGTGCCCGATGCTGCACTCTTGAGAAGGTCGTAAACGGACTTGGTGGATGGCTTGGAAGACACTTCGAGCAAGTACTTGGCCAGGCTGTTGGTGGCCTCGGAGCCCTCGGACTTTGCGCTGGAAAGCGTGATGGACGAGACAAAGGCGTACGGGTCTTGGTCCTCGTCGCCGACGACCTTGATGGTGGTGCCGATGCCTTGGGATGTGGAGGTCTTGACGATCTGATCCGCCAGCGCAGATAGGTCGAGCTTGGTGTTGTGCGTGTAGAAGAGCTGCTGCAAGAGACGCTTCAGAGCCTGGAAGTCGATCTCTTCGGGTGCGCGGAAGTCAAAGTCGACGTTGATGAAGTCGGGCTCCTCGGAACCGTCCGAGTCGTAGTCTGAACCGTCGGCGCGAGGCTCCTCGTCCTCTGCCTTGCGTTTTGTGTCGATCGGCATGTTGTGTTGTGTATCTGCGAGGTTGGTGGAGGGACGGTTAGCGAAGTTGTCTATGCCACACCTGCCAAGCTGCAGGTCTTCGCCTTCCTACAAAAAAAGTTCTGTTCAACGTTTCGGAACTCGGGACTCGCTCGCAGTGTGGAGAAGAAGCCCCGAGCTTGTTTCGGCCGACAAGAACTCTGTCGTACTATACGGCACGAAGCTTTGCGGAAAGGGCAAGGTGCTTCGAGTCTGTGCACGTTGTGCGGATGCAGTGCTCACAATGGAGGATCATGCAGCAGCGTCTTCACCTGGCGCTTGCGATATTGGCGGTACGGAGTTCCGCTCTCGACGTAGAGGAGCCTGGATGCTTTTTCTGTGGATTTGGCGGGTCCAGGCTTTGGCCTCTTGCCGAGAGCCCCGAGCGTTGAGCAGAGGCAGCGCATCGCCTCACCCAGCCTCGCGCGACCGAGCAAGAGGGCGTGCGGGACGCTAAATCGGACTCGAAAGTTGATTTCATGTGGGTCCCATCCAACAAAGCTCGTCCGCACGCTGATCCGACCGCACTCCACACCCGCACCTCTCTATTTCTGGCTGCCTGTCTGTCTCGCCTGCCCATCCTCGCCATCTCATCTTCCCATCAACACGCCACTCTGCACCTACAAACCCACATCTTTCACAGCGCATTGCGCCTCCTCACAACCATCGTCTCACACCTCAAAGCAAGCTGCCTTGATCTGCTCTCACACCACGGGTCGAGACAAGGAAGACCGCAGATATCAGCATCGGCACGTGTTACCCACCCCCCTCTTTCGCCATCGGTTCCGATCGTTCAACTGCTTGTAGCTGCTTCGTCTCCATCAACAATAGCACGCTCGCACGCCATGTCTGCCCCGACACCGCAACCGATCCAAGATAGCGCTATGGCGACCGACGAGTCGATGCGCGACGACTCGTCCGCACGCAAGTACAATAAGACCTCGCATCTGCAGAAGCGCTCGCAGCAGGAGGCGTACGCCGTCGATCCTGCAGCATCAGCTTCCGCAGCCCAGATTGCTGCCAGCGTAGAGGCAGGCCAGCCTTACGATCCTGTCGCCGAGTACCGCCGCGGCCGTGCGCTCACTGCAGACAACCTCGAGCGCATTCCCAACGCAGACCAGCTTGCTCCAGGCATTCGCCTCCCCGGACGAGTGATCGATCCGCACGGTGCGGATACCGACATGCAGACCTCGTCGGATGCCGATGAGGGCGCACAGAGCCTCGAGACCGGTCACACGAGCGTCGGCGCGTTTGGTGAAGGCGGAGCGCCGGTTCCAGGCGTGCCTCCCGAGCTCGACCCACGAACGCCGTCGTTCCGACCGCACAGTCCAGGCGAGGCGTCGGTGTTCTCGGTGGCAGTGCAGCCTCCAGCTTCACCCAAGGCGAGCATTCTCGAAGCTTCCGAGCCCGCCAGTCCGTTTGTCGAGTCTACACCGTCTCGGAGCGCCACCGACAGGTACGGCGTCCCCGTGAGCAGCGCCTCGGCTACCGCAGGCTCATCATCCTACTCGGTATCGGCTCGCGGCTCTTCTCCACCACTCTCCGCCGGCTACTCGGCTTCCGAGGCTTTCAACTCGGCCATGAGGCTCGGACCGGGGCCGAGCATGCTGGGTCGCAACGTCGCCAGCGTGGCACCGTCGGAAGCGGGCAGTGTCTCATCGACTGGAACTGGCGGTGGACCAGGTAGCGCGGGTACTGCCGACGATCAGGAGGTGGCGTTGCGTGCGGCGTATATCGAGCGACAGAGGATGCGCGAACGCGAACTCATGGGTGGCGAGGCCGGCGTGGGCGGTACTACGATCCCCACATTCGCACTGCCTGCGCGCGGCACCACCCCGCTCGCCTTTGCACCGGGGCTGTCGGCACGACTCGGGGGTGGAGCGACAGGCAGTCCTGCGTTTGACAATGTCAGCAGGGCAGGAAGCACCGCAGCGACCACGGGCACCAGCACGCCTCCGCTCAGTCCGACGGGCAGCGAGATCCCCTATGCGGTCGCTTCGCCCTCGCGCCGTGGCAGCGTCGACAGCACCGAGACGCTCGGCAGCATGCGCGCACCGCCCAGCGTCCAGGGCTTCGAGCTCGGCAGCGGCATCGAGTCGAGACGCATGAGCCGCGGCGGCTCCTCGGCCGGATTTGCTGATGCCGCCTACGACACCGGACGCCGCGGCAGCGAAGGCGCCTTCATCTCCAACGCCATGGATGAGGACGTGCAGGAATCGGCGCCGGCACCGTCGCTGCACACCGAACCCGAAGCGCTCTGATTCGCCCCCCGTCTCTTTTATAAGATAATAACACAAGCACATGTGTCGGCACATGCGCAATCGAGCCAATGTCCACCCGAATCGCAGGGCGAAGCCCAGTTCGACCTGTGTGATGAGGTTGATTGCTTTGCTTTGGACGGTTGGTTGCTTAGGCGGAAGAAGGTGGCTTGGTCGGCGCGCTGAGTTGCCCAGCCTGCTTTTCCGACAGCGCGGGCGATTGCTTTGGCCGTGTCGACTGGGAGAGTAGCGAGAGGCCGATGTTCCACAGGATGCCGACGGCCGACACGAACGGCACACGATATCTGCGCGACAGCAAAAGGAGAGACGGGTCAGAAAGACAGCAGGACTCGCTCTGAAGCAGAGCTGTACGTACTTGAGTGGCATGTATCGGAAGTTGACCAGCTGGACGAGCGGCCAGATCTGCCAGTTGGCGAGCAGCGCGGGAATGTACATCTCGCCGAATTTGGCTTGCACGCCTTCGAGCGAGCCGCGCTCCATAGCGCCCATGGCTCCCGTAAACAGGGCCAATCCAATGGGTGCGCTGCGAGTCGCAAAGATGTTCGTTAGCTTATGATAACCGTGGCACGCAATGAAGCCCTTAGGGTTGAACTTACAAGAAGATCTGGTCCATGGCGACTCGATTGCCGAGCGCACGGAGACTCACTTTGCCCAGAGCGCCAGCAGCTGCCGTGGCGGCGGGGGCCGCGCGCAGGGGAAAGCGGAACTCGAGGAAGCGATTCCACTCGGCGAGCAAGGGTGCCATGCCGACGTTGAACGCAAGGAAGCGGCCTGAGCGCGACCAGTCCCATCCTGAATCGGTGACTGAAGATGGTGGTGGTTGTGCCGAGGTTGTGTCTGATGACGTCCGGGATCGCTGCTGCTGCTGCTCGAGCGACTGCGCCTGGCTGATGCGTTCGAGCGATTGCGCTGCCGCGTCGGCGAGCACACCCAGCGTGCCGTTGGTCACTGCCAGAGTGACCCACGGCCGCCGTTCAAAGTTGCGCGTGTAAAACGCGCTGAAGGCTTGGCGATACGACATGACTGCAGAGTGGTGGCGAGACGGCAGGCAGCTATCAAAGTTACGGACGCTGGGTGAAGAAGTGCGGCGTGCCCAGCATGAAGCAGCTTGTGGAGGCATGACTGATTCGGCGCTCTTTTTTGGGCCCAGTGCGTGGTCTGAGCGAGCGACCCTGGCCAGCCTTGAGCCATTCCTCTGCATCCAACTCATCGCGCTGAACCACACCTCCCCGCCTCCTTCTGCTGGCCTTCTGCCCGAGATCGAGTGCAAGCAGCGACACGTCGGAAGGATTCGCCGCTTGGCTGGTCGAGGGCTGGCTGCGCCTCGCATTCGAGCCGACAAAACGTCGCTGTTTCGGCCTCTCCGACTTCTGGCTGTGCCTTTCGATCCGTGCCGCCTCCCCGTCCTGGCAGCCGCCGCCCAGATCCATACGGCCGTCATGGCACCCAAACGCAAGTCCCAGGCCGATGTGCCCACTCCCAATGGCAGCGGGAACAGCTCTGGCCGTATCGCGCACTGGCTCATGAAGGCCGAGCCAGACACGCGCCTCGAGCGCGGCCACGACGTGGCCTTCTCGATCGACCACCTTGCCGCCTGCAAGACCACCAAATGGGACGGCGTTCGCAACCCAGAAGCGCGCACCATCATGAAGGAAAAGATGCGCACCGGCGACGACGTTCTCTTCTACCATTCCAACACCAAGATCCCCGGCGTGGCCGGTCTGGCACGTATCTGCTCCCAGAGCTATCCCGACCCCTCGGCATTCGACTCCAATCATCCCTATTACGACCCAAAGAGCGACAAGGATAGTCCAAAGTGGTGGCTCGTCGACGTCGAGTTTGTCGAGAAACTCGATACGCTCGTCCCGCTCGGCCTGCTTCAGAAGATCGCCGGCAAGGGTGCCGACAACAAGCCGCTCACAAAGGAGGAGCGCAACGACGTCGACTATCTTTCCGATGCCGAGCTCGAGGCCATCAAGGGTATGGCGCTGCTCAATCGCGGAAGGCTCAGTGTACAGCCCGTGGAGCAGCGCGCTTACAACGCCATCCTTGCACTCAGTAGGAACCGAGGCTGGGATCACTGGCCAGGAAAGTGGAACCCACGCGCCGCCGCTTCAGCGAAACCAACACCGGCTGCCAAAACAAAGCCCGAGCAGAACGGTCCGCTCGAGTCTGCAAAGACAGACCGCACAGCAAAAGCTGCATCCGTCTCGTCCAAACCGAGCGCCTCCAAGAAGGCCAAGACTGAGCCTAACACTGAGCCCGATGCCGCACCGCCCACCGACGGACTTCGACGATCTTCGCGGCGACGAAATGTCTAGCCCCCCATGACTACCACGGCACGGCACAAGCGATGCACTCTCCATGTTACGGTCAACTTTGTTTCAATTGGATCTAGAGCGCCTCTTGCAAAGTGACCATCCTCGACTCGGTCACCGCTGTCGTCTTTGAGCGAGCGTGATGTTGGACCGAAAGTAGGGAAGAGGGAGAGATGTGCGTTCGCCAACGAACCCGTTCCTCCACTGAGCAAGGAGGAGGGGTTGATACGGGAGCGCGGATATGCCGTGTCGTTAGTCTCCCCCAATTCTCCGTCCGGCTCGGCGCAACGCCCCGAAAGGCGCACGCGCAGAGCAGGGGCATCAATGAAACCGAACATCTTTGATCCGACCGCGAGGTCGCAAAGAGCAGTCTCTGCCGAAGAGGGGTGGTGGAAGCGTGCGTGGAGAGAAGGGAAAGGAAGGAGCCGGGCAAGTGAGGGGAGGGGGGATGGGGACGGGGATGGGTTTACCTCAGCATTCACGGTTATCGGAGAGCGTTGAACGTCGAAATAGGCAGATACGGTGCGCAGGTCAGGGCGGGGATGCGAGCAGAGACGGGCAAGGACGTCAGATGCGTCGGAGAATGGTCAGGCCGGCACTGTTGCAAAGGCAAAGGTGGTGGTGCAAAAGGAACAGGGCCAGCTGTGACTAGCGATTTCATTTCTTCCAAACTGCTGCGGAGTATTCTCGAGTCCCTCTTTTCTTCTGCGTGGATCCCTAGCACCATCGCCCGATCGTCCAATCCACTCACCTCCGCCCGTTCACTCGCAACCCTCCTCCCCCTGCTCTCGCTTCCCCTGCTCTCG